CGACAAACGACGCGAAAGAATGGCGAGTCGGAAGGAAGGTGTCGAGAAGGAGGAGGAGGAGGAGGAGGAGGAGAGGTGGAAGGAAAACAAAAGGCTCTCGCGTGCGTTCCGAGTGACGTGGCGTTTAACGTTTGTCCAACGCGAGCTCGTTCGATCTCGTTCTCGAATAAACACGATCACGAGGGCGAGAAGGAGGAAGAGGAGGAGGAGGAAGGAAAGAAATCGCGGCGGCGCTCGATCGATCGATCCTTCGGTTCGGATGGTGCGCGATCGCGAGGCGGCTATCGTTAACCGCATCGACATCTGCATCAACGTCGCGGTCATTGCATACGGATCGCGGAATCTGCTACTTGGTATTCGCCACCACGCGCTCCGAGGCCTTAGCCAGAGTTCGCCTCGCACACGCTTCGCTCTCTGTCTCCCTATACTTAGAACCGAGTCTGCCCGTTCTCCTCTTCCTCCTCCCTCCCCCCCTACGGAGGACGGAGGGAATCCGGTCAATCTCTTCTCTGGTCCGCTTCTCCTCCTCCTCCTCTCGCCCCCTCTTTCTCGACCAATTCATTTTCCTCTCGAATTCGAATTTTTGGAAACTCGAGAGAAAAAGTTTCCCTCCCCTCGATTTTTCCAATTCTCTCCCTCCATTCTTTCTTCATCTTCGCGAACAAAGGAACGAACGCGTTCCTTTTCGATTCCCCTCGTATCCGACGGGGAATAGTCGGACAAGATTTAAATATTGGCGAGGATCGTTTTCTTTTCTTTTCTTTTCTTTTTTTTCTCTCTCGCAAAACAACGTTTCTTCTCCTTCTTTTTCTCTCTCTCGGGACGGAACAATCGCCACGCGATCGATTAATCGAGGGGGGGCAAGGCGAGAGAAGCACCGATCGTCCTCTCATTCGTTTATTCTCGTTCAGACGCGAACGCGTCGTTGGACGGTTTTCGCGATGAACTCGTTTTGGCGAAGCAACGAAAATACGTGAACGGTAAGATCGCTTCTAGGATCGTTTCCAGTCGTCGTTCGACGACAACTTTTTTTCGTCCATTATTCCAACCGTTTTTCCATCCGTCCCCCTCTACCTCCCTATCCTTCTCTATCGACAGTCTCTAAGCCTAACGACCGTCAATTAGCCTCCGAAGCCCGCGCTAGGTAGGCAGAGGACTTCGCGGACACCGAGAGGCGCGCGCAAGCGCGTTTCGCCACTCGTTATTATCCCATCAAGGTGGCCATCAAAACGGTTTACGATTCGACGTCGCGATACCGTTTGCCGGTAATAACGGAAAGATATCTCGGTTAACGTTTTTCCATTCCGTTCTCGAGAGAGCGAGAGCGAGAGCGAGAGAAAGAGAGAGAGAGAGAGAGAAGAGAGAAGAGAAAGAAAGAGAGAGAGCGTAAGTCTGTCGGTGCGCAGCAAGTTTAAACTAAAACGTGATAAACGACGTGACGCGTCGTCAACACGGGGATACGTATGGTAAAGTAGGAGGCCCTGTTGTCGAGGCTCTGTTGTCTCCGTGCCAACCGGAAACGCGAGCACCCGTGAAATATTCGAATAAGCGTTCGTTCCTTCGAACCGTTCCTCGAGTGAAACGGGACAAATCGGATCCCCTTTTCCAGATACGATCCGATCCGATCCGATACGAAGGCGGGGGAAAAACGTTGAAATTCGAAACTCTCCCCTTATTCTTATCCGCTCCCTCCTCGCTCTCTCTCTTTTTTTCCTGCTTTTCCATCGTATAATAGATCGTGGGACTTGATCCAATATACGGGTGACCCCTGGTGACGCCAACCCCCGTCACTCCTCTACGGAGAGAAAGACAGAGAGAGAGAGAGAGAGAGAGAGAGAG